ATATATATATATAAAATTAAAGCCAGCTGTAGAGAGAGAGAGAGAGAGAGAGAGAGAGAGTGTGTGTGTGTGTGTGTGTGTGTGTGTATAAATATATAAAATACAGGTTGCTTTAATTTGAGAAATACATACAACTCTTATACATACTTATGTGTGTATATATTTTTCAAATTAAAATTCTAATTGAAAGTGCAGCTACAGTTTGTATAGAGATATTTATATGCATTCATATTATATTATATGCATTGCGATTAAAATGTACATACATCAAAATAGTCTCCCTTATTTTTTACCTGCATCTACAATGAATAATTCTGTTTAAATTGCTCTATCAATTTGAGAAAACGATTGATTTGTTATTACTCTTTAGTTTGTCTCTTTCCCTTCCCCCTTCTCTCTCTTTCTCATTTCGTATTTTTTTCTTTCTCATCTTTTTTGATATTCAATATTTACATACAAAATACTTTAATGTTATTGCGATGCACATATATAAATTTGAGTTACTGCAATATGAGTCTGTTGACAGATTACAAAGTATCAACTCCAAAAATATCAAGTTAGGGCATATGAAATTTTTGATTTTAATTATGTATCATATTTTATATACGTATGCATGTACAAATATATAGAATTTCAATAATTTTGCAGTAACTACATATACTATATATACTAATAGAACAGCAGCGAAATATGATTGTAATACTTATGAAATATAATTTTGAGCTTATCTTATAAATTTTTTAATTATAATCTTTTAAATTAAAATTTGAATATTCAAAATTAAGTTGTTTTATTTTATAAAATAAGATTTTTTAATAACAATATAATGATAAAATAGGCAAATAAGAGTTGATTCTTTAAAATGTAAACGTATAAAGATTTTTTAAGTAGTTAATATTTTTCAATGCTGTTAATGTTCTTCGAATATATCTATTTATAATAGCAGACAAATTGCTGTTTTGATACAAATAACTTATGCTATACAATACTCACGTAGCAAGAAATGCTCTCCGTAATAATGCATATGTACATTAGAGGATTTTAGTACTTCGTTATACATAAAAATGTTGATTATAATACGGGAGAATTTTTAATGATGGGTCTTACAATGTTACTTGATCGACTTGTGTAATCATATTTCAAGAAATAAATAGTTTAAAAGAAATTATATTAATCTGTATCTTATCATTTTTATAAATATTCTAAATATTTCAAGTATAATAGTTAAGTATTATGTCAATAGACTTTTTTAAGAAAATTCAAAATAAGATATATTGCAAGTAAGTCTTACTTAAAAAATATATTATTTATACTGCATATTCGCATGTATATTATATTTTTACAATTCATTATTTACAAATGTTTTATAAATTCATAATCAATTTTATAAATTCATAATTAAAAAATAATTTTTATACATAATCTATATGTTGTGTTTAAAAAATAAAAAAAACTTAAAAAATAAAAAATTTTGATTTTATTGCATAAAACAAAATTAACAAGTTTTTTTTTAAATAAAAACTGAATTTTTTTGCAAATGCATAATACCAATAAAAAAAAAGACATAATATATAAATATAAATATATTGACATAATTTATAAATATATTGTGAAAGAGTACATAAATTTGTAAACATATTGTGAAAGAGTATAATATCGCCTAAAATTTAATTATCTTATTTTTTGGTTTATTACTGTCACATTTCTTTTTTGTATCTTCCTGTAAAGATTCTATGGCAGAATTATCCATTTTTTCCACTGTAACGACATTATCTTCCTTAGCATTCACTAAGTCAGGACAATCCTTCTTTAGGTGTGTCACAGCTCCGCAAATTTTGCAGCAACCACCATGAGGATAAACTCCTTTGGGATTATCAGGGCATTGCATAGTAATATGACCTTGCTCGCGGCAAATGAAGCACTTTGCATATCTATAGGTGGAATCTTTGTTAACTTTGCATTCAAAGTGGGTATGTTCTGTTGAACCACATTTGAAACAGATGCCTGTGCAGGCCTCACTGCGATCAAGCTCAGGACAATCAGATAGATTGTGTCCAGATTTGCGACAATTGAAGCAGACGAGTTTCCTGATCCGTGCCAAAGCTTTCTCAGCCTTGCGTCTTTCCAGCTTCATCGCTAAATCCACTTCAGATTTTGGTATACCTACATAATGATAAATAATGCAATACAAATGTTACATTTTGGAAATGAAGTTTTTAATACTTTATTATTATCGGTACAAAATATTTTAATTAAATCTGTGGACCCTGAGGTTTAGATTCTTAAATAAGATTTCCATCATTCCTCAATTTTCACATTTAAAAAATTTGAAAAAATATATAAAGAAAAATCAAAGTAATTCTTTTAAGTTCCATGAGAATTTATACATGTTGATGGATATATGAATATATTAAAATTTTTTATAAATTCTTAATAGAATTCAAAATTAAAACACTATCATATTAATATCATATTGTATACTTACCCTTCATTATCATTTTCTGTTTGAGTTCTGCCAATCTTTCTGCATCTTCTTTTTTAACAGGAAATCTATCATACATGACAATTTCAGTTTCTACACCATTGATTACTATTTTGGTGACACCAGCATCTGACTTTCTTCTTTTATATTCTCCCTTTTTCTTAATTTTTTCCTCTCTTGTATGTATATTGTTATTTTTGCTAGAGAAATCCTTCTTAAACTTTTTAGACCCATCATTAGACATTTCTAATTTCCTTTTCTGATTCCGTTTCTGTCGTTTGCTCAATACAACATAATTCGAATGTGTATCTTGTGGAGTATTTAATTCTTGTGCAGAATCTTTTTCACTAGATACTGAAATTGTATTATTGATGTCTTGCTCCTTTTTCTTTTTGTTAGAAGATTTAGTTGTCTTCTTATCTGTTCCAATGTTTTTTTCTGTGTGTTTTTGTGATTCTTTTACATTATTTTCAGATGTTACATTATTTTCAGAATTTTTCGTGAAATTTCTTTTTGAATTTGAATTCTTATGTTTTCTTTTGTCAGACTTGGATCTATTATCTTCAAATTCTGCCCATTCCTGAGTATTTTCATTAGTGCTTGCATTAAAGAAGTCTTCATGTTCTTTCAATAATTCCTTTGCTGACTTTTTCTTCTCTAAAGATTTATTTTTGTTCTCTTCTATTTGCTGTTTCATTACATTCCATGGTGTAGCCTCATTTGGTAATCTCTCATTTGAAGCTTTGGATCCTTTTGCTCTTGCAAATCTGGTCATTTTTTCTTGCACTAGCAAAAAAGCATAATTATTTAAGGTTATTTGTTTGAATTTATTAAAGAGTGTTTGAATCTTTCTGAATTTTTTAAAATTTTATATATAAATATATATTTAATTCTTAATGATTCTTATCTTATGAATTTTTTAGTCTAATTCTTGATTCAATTAATTAAAATATATACTTTGAAAATATATACTTATTCAAAACTTTGCATTATTAAATTCTAAACTTTTAAATTCTTTTAAATTTATAAAAGTTTTCCTTTTTTTAATAAACTTACATACTGCTTTTACTTCAAAATAATTACATGTTACTCTTAAATATGAATTCATAGATACTTGTATTGAATTGACGAATTTGTGCGTTGAAATTTTGTGCGTATAAATTTTGCAATGCAGATATTTATAAATTGTACTAATTATTCAATTGAGCTATCTAGCTTCCAATTTTAATAAAATTGATTGATTTTTGAGATGCTCAAGGCTAAACTGTATAATTATCAAAATTATTTCATTAAATTATCAAATTTTAATTCAGCTATGTACAAAATTAAGTATCATGCATCTTGTAAAAATAAATTCCTCTTCGCAATAGATTAATAATTTAAAAACGTAAACATTAGTTCACATTAAAAAATTCAAATTTATTTTCAGAATAAATAAATGTTTTCTTACCACTTCTTTTATTGGAGTGTTCGTAATGTATTTTATGTTTATATATCTTCACGTGGAAAACTAGAGGTTAGGAAACTTCTTTCGTGTGTTCCAAAACTGCATCATCGATTATTTATGTTCGAAAAGCGTATGATCAAGTCATCGATTTTTCGAGAATCGAGAGAGATACACCAATCGGATGTTGCAAAGCTCTAATTTCGCTCGAGAGCTAACTACGTTTCTGATGTTTCTGAACGCACTGTCGTTTATTTTCGCTCCATTCGCTTCCAACCGCTGGTCATTTTGCGCGCATCGATATTCGATTACTCGATACAACGACAACAGAACGGAGCTTGTACGGAATTGTGCTTGCGTTCGCTTGCAAATGTTTTCTGTATATAGTTTCTCGTTGGATTATTCTAAGTGTTCTCTAATATTCTCGAGAAATGGCGGAGTTCGTGGAGAAACGATGTCAGGACATGATCCCGGAGTTGGAACAAATGGAGAAGCTCAAGCTCTTTGATAAAAAAGAGATTCGGTAAGTGAACATGAATTTAGGTTATGTACGCGTGTCTTTGAGAATCGGATGATTTTCAAATGTTGAAACGTTTATTATATTTTCAGGAGCATCGCCAAGAAACTCAAAGAATATGAGTATAAAATTCAACGACACACAAAGACTAAGGAAGACTACCTTCGATACATACAGTATGAAATGGATCTTCTAAAATTGATCAAGCAACGAAGGGATGTGAGTATATCCAAACTTTTTTTCATATATATATATATATATATCTCATGTATATCGTGTACTTTAAAAAATTACAGAAAAATAATCCAATGATAAAATCTAAATGATCAACGACACGCATCGTATATTACAAAATCATCATAAATTTAAGGATTTTCACAGTTAAATTTATAATGTCAAATTATATCCATTTCAAATTATTTTTTAATCATTTCTAAAAATCGCAATTGTTCTTAATGAGAAGAAAAAAATTATATATTATATATTATATATATTAATTATATTTCATCTTAAATATTTTTTCAGAATATTATACTTCGGAATTACCGTGTATATGATTACAGATTTTGTTGTTCCGATTTTTGATAAAAGATTGAAATCGCAATATTAGAAATCCCAAGATAGATCGTTGGCTTTACGGTTCTATATAGCTAATAATGCGCTAATAATAGCTAATTATGCGCATATGATATGCATATCCTTTTTGTGTCAAGTCTACAAACTATCGATTCATGTTGCATGTTGACCGTTTTCTCTGATAGTT